CTTTCTTTCTTTCTTTCTTTCTTTCTTTCTTTCTTTCTTTCTTTCTTTCTTTCTTTTTAACATATTGAAAACCAAAAGCCCAAACTCAATATAGCAAACATTAAATGGTGGTATACCCGAACCAGATGTACAAATCACACATGTCTGTGTGTGTCCTGTGTTCTGCTTCATGTAGTCACATATTTCTGCCAGCTTCATTCCTAATGCCAGCCATTCAGGACACAGCCACTCAGACAATATTGCTGGTCACCTGATGGGACTAGGAAAAATTTGCTAAGGTACTGTTTGCTCATAGGGAATGGAGAATTCCTTGCAATTTGTGTGGACCAATATGTTAATTCTAGGCATCACTAAACATTAGGTACAATTTAACAAACCGCCTAAACTCCTTGAAGGATAGGGGTTTCTAACAAAATGCATACATTTCTAATCTATAGAGGACAACTTTAAAACACTTGGGTCAGGTTCCTCCTTGCAGACAGGTCTTGGGCCCTTAGCCTCATTATTTCACAGGGATCTTAAAGAAGAGGGAAGCTAGGGGGTGAAAGTGGGCACACAAGGTTGGACAGACCAGTCCTAGACTCTGCTAATTTTATATTTTCTTTGTCCGTGTCCCTGTGCTCAGCAGTCAGTCCTAAGTTCAACTCTGTTGTTATAATGCCTACCTTTTGGCTTAGGAGAGCAACACACCACATTACTTCTTATTATCAGCGTTGTGTGAAGGAGCCACATTAAACCACTCACGGCTTGCATCTACCTTAGTCAACTTCATTTCAGTCTGGTCTATTTGGCAGAGCGAAACCAGGCCAGTTACACTGAACCACTGTCCAGCCCCGCATTCTGTCAGGAGAGCGCCAGCATGCTTATTTTCCCCATATAAAGGAGAATATCCAATTCACACCGTGTACTCTGTGACTATTACGGACAATATTTATTCAGAAGGAATGCTGTGTGAGTCTGGGAAAGCTGTCGCTAAGAGGAGAGGGAGAGGTCACTTGACCAAACAAGAAACAAAACCTATACATGGGCAAAGAGTGAGGAACTCAAGTTTTCCCTTCCACTTGCGATAAAACATTTGCATAGCCAAAACACAACAGGACAATTGCAAATTTAAGGACTGTCTCCCTCCCTCTCTCCATCCATCCCTCCCTCCCTCCCTCCCTCCCTCCCTCCTTCCCTCCCTCCCTCTTCTCTGGAGTTCTTTATAATAAACAGAACCCCTCCATTCATTTAGCAGATACCAGCTCGTTTGGAGAGGAACTGCTTAGAATTAATGAAGCAATGCCCCAAACAACTGCTATTAATACATTGTTTTCTTTGATAGAGGCTGCCTGCTTTTTTTCTCTGCCGCATCTTTAAAGATGGGGTGCTTTCTAATGGTCTTAGAGCACCGTGAAAAGAATCGTTAGTTAGAACACCCCCCACGACCCCGCCGCGCGCTTTTTTTCCTTTGACATGTTTTGTATTCATCGTCTACATTTGAAAACAGTGCCAGGTCAGGGAAGCTGCGCTCCATCTCACAGTGTCTTCCCACCCGTAACTCCTAACTCCATAAGCCTCTAAGCCTCGGGCGCTGAAGGGTTAACGGGGAAGAGCAAGGCTACAGGCTCCACTGAACTTACAACTCTGAAATGCAAACTTAAAAACAGCAGCCCACGAGTGCGGGGTTTCCTTCTGCCACTCAAAATACTTAAGGCCACCTTCTTCCAGAAAGGAAAGCCGCTCCATCCAGACACAACGAAATCTCCACGATGTTTCATTCATACCAACCACAAAGCAAAAATCAATATCCACCTTCCCAGAGATGCACCTCCAAGTCCCGGCATTCTCACTTACCCCGAACAGGCACAGCATCTGCTTTTCAACCCTTGTAGAGTCAGTTCACCTAGTGCGCACCGTGATTGCTAGCACGCTCATGGGAAGAACAGATTTTAGCCAAATTGTTAATTACTCCTGAGACCATAACCAACTCCGAAATTCTAGGGAGAGACAGGAGTTTAAAAACCCGGCTTCCAGATTCTGGCATCCACTGTGTCTATCTTTAACTTGAAAACGATTTGGTTTCACATTCCACTGAAGTCCCACTGGCAGATGCCTTTGGTAAACTCACCAATGGCAGGCTTTCAAAGGTCTCCCTCCGCCCCTCCCTCCCGGGGAGCTTCCGCCCATCTCTTCTAAAGCTGAATTACTCAGCTGTCCTTTTACCTGTGTCCTCCCGGGTAAAAGGAACTGCTTTCATTGAAGGCTATTCCAGAAACCTTTGCAGGCTGAAGATCAGCTGAGGACTCGCTGGCTTCCCCTGCCATCACCCCCGCCCTCCTCACGGCCAGAAACCAACTGACTTCCAAACTTGGCTGCCTGAAAAAGAATGTCCTCTGATTGGCATTCCTAGAGGCAGAGAGCCAGGCAGCCCGAGCTTGGCAAATGGCTTCCTAGGGATACACAACACAAACAAGGAACTTTCCTGGACTTTTATTTCAGTTTGAGGAAAATCCAGCCACTATGTCGCGACATTAAAAATATTTCTGTTGAGGCTCAACGTTTATGCTTTGTTTTTGTTTTTTCCTATCTGCTTATCATTTTACGCAGAATGACTAGGGCTACAGTAAACCAACAAGACAGCAGAACTATTATCAAATATTGAATAAACCTTGTTTGGGACTCACTAGAAAATGAAAAGACCCACGAATGCTATTTCACAGTGTCCTGAGGACAACTGGTCAATGTGGGGGGTTTCCTGAGAAATAAGTGCTTATAGGAATTGTGGGGACCTGACTTGAGCTGGCTTTTGTTTTATACTCCAAGCTGCAGGAGAACATGGAAGAAACACTTCTTTTTCCCAGAAAGCCTTCTGTTATGAGGGTTGTCTTACAAAAATTTAGCACAGGCTGGGAAAGAAGTGTGTGTGTGTGTGTGTGTGTGTGTGTGTGTGTGTGTGTGTGTGTGTATGTGAAGGTAAACTAAGGGTCCGGTTTTGCTTTTGCTTTCTAGTGCTATGATAAACACTGTGGCCCAAACCAATCTGGTGAGGAAAGGATTGATTGGCTCACTTGACCTGATCAGAATCTGTTTTTGAGGGAAGTCAAGGCAGGAGCTCAATCAGAAACCTGGAGGCAGAGGCCATGGAGGGTGCTGCTTACCTGCTTGCTCCCCATGGCTTGCTCTGCCTACTTTCTTATTCAATCCAGTGCTAATTACACTGGGCTGGCACTGTACCCAAGTGTTAGGTCCTTTCTCATCAATCCTTAATCAAGAAAATGCCCCACAGATTTGCCTACAAGCCAAGCCAATGGTGAAAATTCTCCAGTTGACATTTCTTCTTCCATGATACATTAGCATGTTGCCACGTTGATAAGAAAAACCAACCAACCAACCAACCAACCAACCAACAAAACAAACAAACAAACAGTTTTTTAAATCAGTCTGGAGGGTGAACAGAAAAGCTATGCAGAAGACACAGCTCATCAAACAGAGCCCAACAAGGATTCGGAATGGGCATGTCTCTTTAACAACAGAAATAACCTGTGCTGAGCATTCATTTATCAGTCCCTGGGATCCAAATGTCTGATCCTGAAAACATGCTCTGTTTGTTCAGAGTAGTGTATGTACTACATGTAACAACTTTGGTGGTCAGATGTACCACAGGATGAAACCTTGCCAGTTTTCGGCACCTGTCAACTGGCTGGGTTCACAGTGGTGATGTGGCTGCAGCTGTTCCTTGGGACTCACAGGGCTATCTCAGACATTTTCAGTGGTAAGTGCTTGACCCCAGAGGACAACTCTCTAACTTCATTGGTTTTAAATCTCGTTTGTTTGTTTGTTGTTTTTTGTTTTCTTCTTCCACGTCTAGAGCAAGCTTACTTTACGAAGTCTCGAGGGAAGACCTGCTTGACTGCTTACCACAGTATGAATTTATTTCACTCATATTTTGATGCCTATATGTGTTGGTGGCTTGCCATCTGCTTGCTCTTTCATCCATCTCCATTCCTAGATGCCCAAAGAAAAATCTTTACAGGAGGAAAAGAAGGAAGCATACTTTAATCTTTGGCCTCAACGTTAACTAGAGAAAGCACAGGGAAAACAGGAGCATCTCCAATTTTCCATTTCGTTTCCATAGTTGAAAATACACACCATCACACAGCACGTTTGGGTTTCAAGAACCGTTCCCTGAGTGTCCATGGTGTACTAACATTTATAAAATCCATAAACCAGTTCACACATAAATAGAAGGAAATAACTTCCTGGCACAGAGAACAGCCATCTCTGGCACACAGAGCAGCCATCTCTGTCCCAGATTTTCTTCTTTCACAGAGTACACCCTGAGTTAAGAAGAGTGTGTGGGGTTTGGAGCCAGCCCTGGCTCACGGCCAGCACAAAGCTGGATCCACTATGGCTTTCGATGCACACTGCTGCAGAACTGATGCTGAGGAGCTACCTGTTTAAACTGAAATGCTGCCTGAGCAGGTTGTATGTCAGCCTGTGGGAAAATGGGTATATGTCAGCTGTGCTTTTAGACAAAATTATTTGTATTTTTCTAAAAAGATGTTTTTTATTTATTTTAATTTTTTGTATATTAGTGTTTTTCTACATGTATGTGGGTTTAGTATGTTCATGTCCAGTGCCTTCAGAGGCCAGAAGTTATTGGGTCCCCTGGAACTGAAGTTACAGGTGGTTACAATCTGCCATATGATTGCTGGGAACTGAATCTGGGTCTTCTGTAAAAGTAGTGAGTGCTCAATCTCTGAGCAATTCTTCAGCACCTACATTATCCTTAATAATTCTAGGATAATCATCCTTCTTCTTGAGCAATGAACTGAGATTGTATGAAGTGTGTATTGTATTGTGCATTCTGTAGCACCATGCACAAGCCCCAGTCATTATATAAGTGTGTGCATGTGAATTACTTCAAATACTAACCAGACACATTTATTAAGGTTCTTTGTGCTGGTCTTGTGGATGTAAAACAAAGTAAGAGAAAAGGGGTGTTGTTTCTAATTGAACTGCTACTGGCTTCTATTCAGAGTATAATGTTACTTAGTTGGATGAATTATGATAAAAAAAGAGTGAGCTAAAGTTCCTAACCTTATCCAGACTTACAGTTTGATCTCCACACATCCTAGAAGTCCCAGACACAATCATTAGAGTCTTAATTGAGCCCCAGAATTAAGTGAGCACAATGAAATGATTTTTTTTTCTTCATGAACCGTCACAAAGCAATTGATAAGATTTATAATGGCTGGAACTGAGTCTTTATCATGAGCAAATGTTGTTCTGCCCTTTTGTAAGCCCTAACAGGAGATTGGGGATTGATCGGAAAAATTGCTTCCAAGGCTCACTTCCAAAGAACACTGGGCACATAACTGGTAAATCAGATACTCTGGACTACTCACGAACAAGCAGTTAATCTCTGCTCCACTCTCTAGAATAGAATGTTCCAGCAGAGTTTCGAGGGGGAAGTACCACTCGAGGTTCCCTTACAGTGGAGGATGGTGGCTCAAGCTCAGGTCTGCACTGATCTAGGATGTGTCTGTGCATATCTAAATCCGGGTCACTCAAAAGCAAATTGACATGGCCAATTTTTCCCTTCCAGGCTGCCTTAAACGATCAATGGAGGTGGTGCTTAGAGGCAGTAACTTTGCGGTTGATTTCTTTCTTGAGACCCGTTCTTTGTATGTAGCCCTGGCTGGCCTGAAACCTGCTATGTTGACCAGGGTGGCATCAATTCACAGAGCTCTGCCTGCTTCTGCCTCACAAGTGCTACCAGGGGTGCCACACCTGGCTGCAGTTGGTTTCCATTTTTGTATCTTATTTATTTACTGTGCTGATATAAGTTCATATTTATTTATAAGAACCACATATTTTGGTCTTAGAAAAAAGTGAAACTGTAAGTTGATACACAATGTCATATTTTATCATGCAACTTATAATGTTCTAGCATTTTAAAAGGCACATAATATTAATACAAGAATAAAGTTTTTCTCCTCAAAGAAAAGAAAATAATTATGAATAGCAGTTACTAGAAAAGTAATTGAGGTAGACACCACCCAAGACAATAGAAAAGCCCTACATAACTAATATTAGAAAACAGGAGCCCTAGTCAGAAGGGGTTCAGAGAATTGACATGCTGTGCATGTTCTTATTAAACACAAGTCAATCGATAGTGTGGAGTATATACTATACCCCAGGAAGTGGAATTAGGAATCTACAAAGGTACCTACACGCCCATCATTGCCTCTTTCTCACATCAGCGAAGATGTGGAAACCCGCTGCAGTGTGAATCAGCAGTGAATTCACAAGGGCATCCTAGCATACTCCTTGCGTGTAGTATTCTGAAACCCAAAGAGGAGAGCCTGTCATATGTGGCAACACGTATCTAGAGGACTTTATGCTAAAAAATACGCCAAGTAGAAAAGCACTGTAAAAACCCTACCTAAATAAGAAATCTAAGAAAACAAGCAACAAAACAAACCACAGAAAACAAAATGATGGTCACAGGGGTAAAAAGAGAGTAGGACAGGGATATGAAATAGTAGGTCAAAAGTCATGTGGCATGTAGTCTGACTAAGTTAAAGATCTAGCACAGAGCACAAGACCTGTGGTTAAGAATATTGTTTCATATGCTGGTAATTCATCAAGAGAGAACTTCAGCCATATGAGATGACAGTGTCCTTCCTCATTTGCTTGCCTGTAGTAAATGTATGTCTCTACACATTCATATATCAGGAATATCACGTTACACACTTGAAGTTACACAACAAAAGTGAAAACAGCAGTGGACTGTATAATCAATAGACATCCTCGGTCAAGATTGGGTGAAGAAGACTCCCCTTCAGGTGTCTGTCATGTGAAAATAACTCCAGTCCTGAAAAGGTGGCATGTACAAATGTATGCAAACATTTTCTAGAGGCTGAAGAGGTGGCTCAGTGGTTAAGAACAAGTATTGCTCTTGCAGAGGACCTGAGTTCTGAGTGCTCAAGCTGTGCATCTCACAATCATCTCTAGAGGATGCTACACCCTTTTCTGGTCTTTCTGTGTGTTGCACTCATATGCACATACATGCACACATGTGCATAAATAAAAATGAAAAATGGAGTCTTTACAATAGGCTTCATTTAGCTGGGTTGATATTGTATTT